TGAAGCCTGAAGATACCATCGGCATCCTCAAGAGGTGAGTGTCATTGGATATAAAAGACATACCTTGGGTATATTTTCTAAAATTTTACCTTTAGATTCAGTGTAGACAATTTAGTAAAATGCTACCATTGCAATACTTAAAATTCCGGGAACAACAAAAATCTGAGATTGCACTTAAGGCAAACTCAATGCAACTTTCTTCCAAATGGGTATATGTAGAGGACTTCTTTGAAAATAAATTTTATTTTTGAGTGCAAGCCATTATAACAACAATCAATGCAAAATTAAGGTCAGGGGTTTGAATCCTATTGTTAGCCCTGATTAGAGTTGGACCTATTGAATCAATAGGATTTACGTATCACTACTCAACAGTTGTTTCTGTGGGTTTCACCTACTTGAGATTAACCAACACCCTGGAACAAAGCCACTCTTTCAGTTGCATATACACTGCTAACAATAATACTTAGAATTTACTGAATATGGCAAAATGTACAAAATAGTTTACATACATGTTTGTAGTTTCTTTATAGCAGACCTTGAGGAAGTCATCTTGTGCATCATCGTGAAACAACTGGTTTAGGCCTGAGGGTGAATCAGTTCTGGACACCGAAAATGTTGACGCTTGTGCCCAAAGTACTTAGCTAGTGCAATTTTGGGCTTCCATGTAATGAAAAAGAAATAGATCAGGCATCCCCAAAAAGCTGTTTGGGCCTCCAATTCCCAGAATTCCTGGCCATTGAACAAGCTGGGCAGGGCTTAGGGGAGTTGGAGGCCTAAACTGCTGGAGGGTCACAGTGTGAGGATGCCTGAAATAGATTGGTCTTGACCCATGACAAAATATAGACCCCAGTTTCAAATGTGATGCCACAAACAACGTTTCCCAGTGCCTTTATTGTAATGCCTTGGAAACCTTTTGGTTGGGACATTGAATCCCTTGCTTTTCTACATTATGGCAAAGATGAAGTACTTTGGCCACATCATGAGAAGACGGGAAAGCTTAGAGAAGACAATGATGCTGGGGAAAATGGAAGGAAAAAGGAAGAGGGGCCAACCAAAGGCAAGATGGATGGATGGTATCCTTGGAAGTGACTGGCTTGACTCTGAAGTAGCTGGGGGTGGTGACGGCTGACACGGAGCTCTGGCGTGGGCTGGTCCATGAGGTCACAAAGAGTCGGAAGTGACTGAATGAATAAACAACAACACATAATTCATCCCCTATAATGGCAATTATATCTCGGGAACTCCTGGTGCATATACCTGGCTATGGTTGTCTGGGAAAGTAAGCTTGACAGACCCTGTGTAATTACCAAATAAACAGGTACAACATATTAACTGGCATTCTGTCCAGTGGTTATGAGATCATAAATTGGACAGAATATGTTTGAACTGCTGGGAAATCAGGTTTATGGTTTATGACTGAAAATGATGCCCTAAACCAGGGGTCCTCAAACTTTTTAAACAGAGGGTCACAGTGCCTCAAACTATTGGAAGGCTGGATTATAATTTGAAAAAACATGAATGAATTCCTATGCACACTGCACATAACTTATTTGTAGTGCAAAAGACACTTTAATACAATACAATAAATAAAATGAAGAACAATTTTAACAAATATAAACTCATTAGTATTTCTATGAGAAGTGTGGGCCTACTTTTGGCTGATGAGATAGGATTGTTGTTGTTGTTGTTGTTGTGTGCTTTCAAGTCATTTCAGACTTAGGTTGACCCTGAGCGAGGGCCGGGTAAATGACCTTGGAGGGTCTCATCCGCCCCCGGGCCTTAGTTTGAGGACCCCTGCCCTAAACCTACCTTTTTAGCCTAGCAACACCCCAATTTAAGAGTCTCAAGGTACTGCAGAATGGGAAGCCCGGGAAATTATATCTGCATCACTCTCCCAGTCATGGGGTGCCTTGGGACAAGCAGTTCTAGCAAGAGCCTTAGTGGTTTCTTCAGCTCTGTTCTTTACATTTGAGGGCAGGGAGAGGGGCATCGTCATTTTCATGATGACAAAGCCACCCATTGTGGTTATATCTGATTATACAAACCTTGGGTGTTACCTTTGTTTCTGCTGATGTTCTCTGCTGTTACTTTTAGGACCAGGTTGAGATGCTAGGCTTCGGGAAGACAGTTCTTAGCAATATGTGGTGTTATTAGAGTGCTTGATGTCAGGATGCAATGAGAATAATTCTAATTGAACAAGGTATAGGAACATTTGGGGAAATGCTCTCATGTTATCATAAAGGGTAAGTATGTAGATATTTTTATTTCATTGTTTTTACTATCTGAAAATCAGTAGAGCTTAAGTTTTAGATATGTTTCTTCATATTAAAAACTAATGAATCAGCTTTTGCTTTTTCATCATTTGACCATTGATGTAACACCAAGGTGAATGCATTAAGTTCAGGGAACCTCTGCATTGTATGTAAGTGGAATTTCTTCATCAGCTTCTTCACGAGTCCTAACCATGTTCCTGTCATAGCTGCTAGCTGTAAGTGTCCCAGTGTGTACTTTCTTATGGGTGATGCTTGTTGTAAAGTACCCCACAGCACATTCTCATTGGCTGATCAAAGCATTTATGTCTCATTTCTTTTTAAAGCAAATACTTCCCAGGACAGGAAAGTCAGATGAAGTTTATCTACCAGGGCCAGCTTCTCCAAGACCAGGCCCGGACTCTCCGCTCCCTCAACATCCTGGACAACTGTGTGATCCACTGCCATCGCTCTCAGACCACTGCTTCTGCCACTGCTGATGCTGGGGCCGCACCCTCGGAAACTGGGGGCATTGCGTTGAGCATGGGCAACTTGATGATTCCGGCCTTTATGGTGATGCTGGTGATCATCTGGTATTTCCGTATCAACTACCGCCAGTTATTTACGGCCCCTGCTACCATTTCTTTGGTTGGGCTGACTGTGTTTTTTAGTTTTCTCGTTTTTGGAATGTACGGGCGATGAGCTTCAACTGGAGAAGAGGGAGAGATCCCAGTTGGTTGCTCATTGTTTTGTACTTTCACTTGTTAATACTCTGTAACAAGGAAAGCACTTTGTCTAGAAAGTCTATATTGATTGAAGGAAAATACCCACAGACCCTTTGCTTTAAATTTTTTACTTGATCTCGATCTTTTCTGTAGTCATAACATTTGGAGACTTTTGAAGACTGTAGAAGAATAAGGCGACGTGGATTGCTCTGCTGTCCCTCTACCGACACAAACAGTTCTGTGACTCGGTCATTAGAAGCATTGCTCTTTGGCTTCTATGTTTTTAGGAAAACTTAATCCAGTTGCTGTGATTCTCTTGATCATTTGGAAGACTTGGAGCTCTTGAAGCCGACTTTAGAGATCCTCGTTGTACTGAAATGCAGTTCCTTCCCTTCTGGCCTTTGCCATCTTCAAAGCCCTGCAGTACAACAAAGGGGCATTCAACTTAAACATTTGGCAATGTATTTGTTGCTGCGTTGGGAAGCATGGAAGGATTAACTTTTGATATGTTCATTTTCTGCCCATTCCACTGTGACCAATTACATAATGCTTAGGTAGGTTTTTTCCACGAATGCCAGTGTATAACTCCTTTCATCCTCTGTTGGAGTTGAACAAATGGAACATGTGCCTTTTCCTCCAAGCACCAAGAGATGTGCATGTTGGAAGTAGGTATTAGTGAGCTACCTTATGAAGACTCTTTTCCATACTGAGTGGGTCTGTATTTACATACTTGTATTTACATACCCTTTGCTCTAGGAAAGAAAGACCCAAGCATTTGGCTATGATTCCCTGCAGGAACACAGCTAGTAAACCAAGGCATGGTGCACCTCTTGCTGGCTAAAGGAAGAGTATCAGCTGCGCTTGAGCCTCCTGTCTAGTTTTCTAGCCACATCAGACAGCTTTTGGTTGGGTGCATGCTGGCGTGCCCTTACCCTGTCAAGCTCGATATATATCTGGCAGATGGCGTCTGGATTTGTCAACACTGTCCATTGGAGGGGATTATGATTTTTCTTCTACTTTGTACCAAACATGCTTAGTACATTCTGAAAGTATTAAAGCCAAAGGTACCTACATGGAGTTTACTACAACTTTGAGAGAATAAGCTAGAAGGCACACTGCTGAAGTAGATTCTCCATCTTTTGTCTTTTATAAAAGAAATGCTGCTGTAAGCATTTTGAGGACTGGAAGACCTGAAACATATAAGCTATATCACCCAAGCAAGGACTCCGCCCAGTTTCTGGGTTGTCGTTTCTCAACTATTTAAACTTGTGTTTCAAGGGCAAGAATTATATTTCTCAGCCTCATTGTCGCAGACAGAAACTTGAACTGAATAGGAAGCTACATTTTTGATTATCAGTGCCAAGTAAATTTCCTGCTCCTGCTCAAAACCTGTCTTAAACATTCTTTTTAACTATTGCTTTAGCTTGTAAAAATCAAGGCGTTTATAAAAAGGTTGCCAATAATGACTCTTTAAGTAAATCTGTGCTTGACATCTATGGTCTGAAATGTAGTCTTCTTTTCTTAAAAAAAATCTTTGGAGGCTTTTAAACAGAGGTTGGATGGCTATCTGTCAGGGATGCTTTGAATGTGATTTTCCTGCTTCTTGGCAGACTGGATGGCCCACGAGGTCTCTTCCAACTCGATTCTATGATTCCTGTTTGGGAAGCCGTGATGTTATGAACCAACTTAAGATTGTGTAGTCAATTGAAGCATTTCCCATCATGTTTCCAAGGGGGGAGAGCAGGAGAGCATTGCCATAGTGCAGTGTTTCTCAACCTTCCTAATACCGCAACCCCTTAATACAGTTCCCCATTTAGTGGTGACCCCCAACCATAAAAGTATTTTTCTTGCTACTTCATGACCGTTAATTTTCTACTGTTACGAATCGTAATGTAAATATTTGATATGCAGGATGTATTTTCATTCACTGAACCAAAATTGGCACAAATACCTGATATGCCCAAATTTGAATACTGGTGGGGGTGGGGGATTGATTTTGTCATTTGGGAGTTGTAGTTGCTGGGATTTATAGTTCACATACAATCAAGAGCATTCTGACTCCACCAACAATGGAAATTGGCCAAAGTTGTCACACAGAACTCCCATGACCAACAGAAAATACTAGGAGGGTTTGGTGGGCCTTGACCTTAAGTTTGGGAGTTGTAGTTCACCTACATCCTGAGAACACTGTGGATTCAAACAATGATGGATCTGTACCAAATTTGGCACAAATACTCAATATGCCCAAATATGATAACTGATGGAGTTTGGGGGAAAATAGGCCTTAACATTTGAGAGTTGTAGTTGCTGGGATTTGTAGTTCACCTACAATCAAAGAGCTTTCTGAACTCCACCGACGATAGAATTGGGCCAAACTTCCCACACGGAGACCCCCATGACCAACATAAAATACTGTGTTTTCTGATGGTCTTTGGCGACCCCTCTGACACTCCCTTACAACCCCCGGAGGGGTTTGTAATTCACCTACAATCAAAGAGCATTCTGAACCCCACCAATGATAGAATTGGACCAAATTTCCTACACAGAACCCCATGCTTTGAAGGGACTTGCTAGTGCGAGCCTCCCTCCAACCTTGCATGCTCTCCCTTGCCCCACACATGCGCACTACGCTGCCATGCGCCGAGCACGCCTGCTCTCTCCTTTCTGCTTGGAGTCCTCCCACACAGGACCCCCATGACCAACAGAAAATACTGTGTTTTCTGATGGTCTTTGGTGAGTTTTCTGACACTACCCCCGCCCCCCCCCCCCCAGATCCCAACCCCCAGGTTGAGAAACACTGCCATAGTGGCTACATCAGAGCCATTGTTTAACTGTGAGCAGCATGGTCACTTGGCAACAGTCAGAATGTGTAAAAATACAATATAATGTGCAGGTGGTGGAGTTGGCCTCCAACACAGCTATTGTAACACAGAATGGAGGACAATGCAAAGTTGTAGGGGCCTGTTTGTGGAAGAGAACATCATGTGCGTCATGACAGTTCTAACACATGTCAGCAACATAGCTTTGCCATCACATAGTCACAGCCTTTGATGCAGGATCTCAACCCCCATGAGATTTACACGGTTGGCTTTTTATCTGTGCAGTCAGTCCAAATTTATTTTTGGGTGAAAAGGGGGGGAAAAACCTGTCACCAATCGGGATATAAATTAGCAAAGAGGTAGAGGTATTTGCAAATTAACACAGCTATCTCCATCCCTTTATCATCAGTGTAAGAGATTTTTCACTGTTAGGGAAATGAAACTCCAAATTAACTTTTGGTGTTACAAATTGGCATTTACATCCCATCAGCTATAGTATCCAAGGACATGGAGGATAGAAACCACCATTATGAGAGCAGTAAATCATCTATCTCTCAAAAAACATTTTCTTAGTAATGTCTATAGAAATACTGACACCATTTGCCAGCCTGGTAAATTGCAGATGTTTGGGACTGTGATTGCCATCATCACTGCCAACTGTGGCTAGTGCTGATGGAAATTGTTTTGCAAATATCAGTGAGAGACATAGCTGTTATATGTTCAGTTCAAATTCTGGATCGAGAAAAGCTAATATTCTGTAAGATAGATGATTTCTCATCTCAATCTCATTATTCACACTCTCATTATTCACACTTTTAGAAGGACACAAGTTCTATTGCCATATAAAACTTTTGAGCTAGCTCCAGGCACTGCCTTCCTTCCAGGCCTGCACAACCTGTAGCCCGCCAAGTCTTTGAGACTTCCAACTTCCAGAAGCCCTAGCAGCTTGTCCAATTGACAGGAATTCTGGGAGATAATGTCCAAAACACTGGAGGGCCACAGATTGCACAGGCCTGATTCATACCATACATTTATTCAGAAATTAGTCTGAAGGTATATCTACACTAACCTGCTTCCAATGTCAAGAAAAAGCCCAGACCTCAGAAAAAAAGAATACTACAGTATACAAAGCTGAAGAGAGAGAGATAAAGAAAAAAAAGCACACCATAATAATTTCTACATATTGGAACAGTAGCTCAAAGCCCGAGTTGGACTGACAAGAGATCAATCTCTTCTCCATGCTCAGGGGAAATGACATAGACTGTTCCTTTGTCCCTGGTGGCACAGCGGGTTAAACTGCTGAGCTGCTGAACTTGCTGACCGGAAGGTTGGTGGTTCGAATCCAGGGAGCAGGATGAGCTCCTGCTGTTAGGCCCAGTTTCTGCCAAACTAGTAGTTCAAAAACATGCAAATGTGAGTAGACCAATAGGTACTGCTTCAGCAGTCATGCTGGCCACATGACCTTGGAGGTGTCTACGGACGCCAGCTCTTCGGCTTAGAAATGGAACTGAGCACCACCCTCCAGAGTCTGACATGCATAGACTTAATATCAAAGGGAACCTTTATCTTTACCATGCTCAGGGGAAGTGACATAGATGGTTTCTCTGCCCTGCTGCATATCCAGGCATGTAAAATGGAGATTTCAGGGCAATACAGCTCTGTCTCCTGATTCACTGACTAGTTGCACCAAAAAGACAGAGGCTGCTTCAGTGCTCAAATGAAGGTAGCTTGAGTCCAAGAGCCCACCAGCAAACCAGTAGCTGTTGTTATATGACAGAGTGGGGCCATGTGGAAGGAAGTGCTGAATATCTCCTTATAAAGAATCTTTAAAAGTACATACATAAGCATAATCCTGTAATTCTACTGCTTTATGATATCAACAGAATGTGAGCCAGTGTCTATGTATTATTTGGTTTTTCAGGTGAGACTAAAAATGTTAAGAATTTGAAGTCCATCATGATGCTTTTTTGATAAAGAGGTTCCAGAAGGCATCTTTCAAACAACTTTACCTCAAAAGATTTTATCAACGTTTACCTTCTTCTACAACCCAGCAGAGTCAAAAACATACCCAAAGAAATACCAAGCAGAGTTACAGTTTATTTACACAGGCATGCCACAATCCATGGATGGGCAGAAAAAAAATAATACAGATCTGACAGTATTTTTAAAGTCTATCTACCTACCTGTACAAGCTGAGATTACATACACAAAACATTTTTTTAAAAAATCAGAGACCACAGTACAGTACTTAATCCATTGATTTTTCTGCACACGTTCAAAAATATCACATAGGTGCAGTTTTTAAGTTATCACTGACAAATTAAAAACCTCTCATCAGTCATGATAGAATACATGAGTTTTTTTCTTCAAGTGAAACAGGCCTATCTTAAAAAATAAAGGGTGCAAGTGCAGATACAGAGCCATATATAAAAAAGACCTGTCCTCCCCACTGCTAAATTAATGTTCAAAAATTCCCCAGATGCTATATTTCCAAAGGCATCTACAACAAGACATCCATATGCTTCAATTGCAATCGCACAGATAAAACAAGGATCTGTTCCGTTCTGGCCACTGACGCACTGCAACAAGTGAGGAAAAGTGGTCAGTTTCATGAGTGGCCTGAACCGGTCGTCAGGCACAGAAGAGAATTGATCCTGGCTGGAATCCAAGTTTACCTCTTTCCCTCTCATTGACTATCCAGTAGTTCACTTTAAATCCATCTTTACGTGGCTTTCTCAGAATACTGGTTTGTGATTTTAGAAATACTTGCTAAAGCATAACGGTAAGTCTTGGTATCTAGACATACAGAACTGATATTTGGTAGATTTGACCGGATAACAAGCTGGAACAATTTTTGCATGTTTCACATAAGTAAGGCTACTCTCATTTTGGTACTAGCCTTCCAGTCTCCAGCTCGCAAAGCAAACAAGGAGGTCTAACCTTGGTCCTGAAGACACACCGAGTATTGCAGACCTTTTGCCCAGGGAGAAAAGTGTGAAGGAGGGGTGAGGAAAGTAAACAAACTTAATAGTGTTAACTTGCTGGACAGGCTAGCCATTTTTCAGTCCTTACACAATTTTCGCCACCATCAATTACATGCACCTCGTGTTCAGTGTCTGCAAGGGCGACAGATCCATCAACATGACAGCCAGCATTTAAACTACACAACCACTGAGAGATCAATGGAAACAGGAGGCAAGGGTTACTGTCCTCTTGGTTGGCATTAACTGCTAGCACAGGTGGCTCAACAGCAAGTTAAAGCAACCAAAGGCTCTGCAGTGACTGGGGAGAGGGAATACAGCAGCAAAAACCATCTCTGGAGAGAAAGCTGCTTAGGAGCCAGTACCCAAAGGTTCCCAACACCAATGCAATGGCTGGTTATGCCACATAAAGGAATCAATGAAATTCTGAGGAATGCAGGCAGCCCGCAGAGCAGAGCTAAAGGCAAAGGGAAGTGCTCAAAGCCTGCAAGAGCCCTCAGGCCAAAAAAATATATTGCTGAATTTGCTGAACCCCCACAAAACAGGGAGGTTTTGCTCACCATAGTGCTCAATATCCCTACGTGCCGAGAGGGAGAAGTGAGAGAGTGAAAAATGGCTCTTTTTGGATTCACCATCATCAACTATTATGGCCTTAAAGGGTCTCCATAACGTGGCAAAACTGTTCTGCTTTAGGATTGTAAGTGAAACAGCCTATTGAGCTGATTATAGAACTGAGCCTAAGGATTTTAGTAGCAGCCAAGACAGACCTTTCACCTATATGTAACTGAAGGGGTTTTTTTCTGGTAGAAGAAGAAAGGAGAAAAGGAACTAAATTGAAAGGAAGTGCTTGGCAACCCCAATCCAGAGAACCAGTACAGACAGAAAATATTGTTGCATTCTTTGGATTTTCAGTGCCAAACATACAAGCTATAATCCATAACATTGCTGAAAGTGGTCTGTTGTCTTATCCAAAGTATAAGCAATTCTGATGATAATTCTGTAGGAGGCAACCATCCTCTCCGCACGCATACACACACACACACAGACTGCATAATATGGGACAGAGAAGAATGCTCAAGACATTCCCTTGCTGTACATTCACAAGCACTTGTCTGGCTTCGGCAGAGCTTGTTGGGAAGCACACGTCTTTCGAATTCTAAATTTTGTTAAGACCCAGGAAGGGATGTCAAAGGAAAGCGCATGAGCGGACGGAAAAATGGCTACACTACCTCCAGAAGCAGCTTTAAAATTTCAAGCCTATATCCTTACCTTTAGGACCACCATGATTTATGGCACTAGATTTAAAACTGCAGCGGTTTGTAGAAAGGATAAAACAAGAGCCAGGAATAGGTGAAATGGAGAGGAAAAAAGTTACTACTAACCTAAAGTATGCACTTCACCCCCTTTCCCCCTAAGTTTGGCTCTAATACTCCAGCAAGATTTCTTCAAATTTCCTAAGAATAAATAATTCGTTCCCTCACACGTACCATGACAGGGAAGAATTACAGACGAACACCCGCAGACCTCAACACAAGCCTTCCTGCTTGGTTTCCATGAACTTCTCTTGTGGAATGTTAAATACCGCTATTTTAAAATTCAACAAAAGTTCAATAAAGCCAGTTGTTGGACACATATGAAGATGCGTATCTCCGTACAAGATGTGCAGGTCTTACAAGAACTGGCTTCTCGGGGTTGCAAATGTGTGCCCAATGGATGAATGAGAGCCATCAGCTGCACCAGCTTCCTGACACACGTACATTGAGAGGAAATGCCCATATCATCATGTCCATTCTGAATATTGCTTCATACAAAATTTCCAAAATCCCACTGGTGTCGAAGCACACACCATCTGGGAAGGAAGCAATTGTGATAGTAGCGGCAACAGTTTCAAATTCTCCGCCTTGCCCAAACTGATTCAGTAAGTAGAGGAAGGCCGCAACACGGGGGTGCAAAGGGGAGCAAAGTGTGGCTTTAAAAAAAACATCCTTTTCAACAACAGAGCACCACAAAAGCTCGGCAAGGAAGAGGATAATTCGAGATCTTGTGAGGCCTCTCAGAACAAAAAGGCGGCCACTGAAGCAGAGACCTGGAAGGAAGGGCAGGTGCTGAAGGACATCCGCCGTCCTTCGTTCCCCCTCGGGCTCTTTCATATCAGACACACAGGGACACACCTCCCAAACCTGCCCAGTCAGAGTCTAGCGTTGCGAAGTGACACAATGCCACCGGATATATAATCATGATTGAACATCCACTAACATCACAATAAATAGACATGAGTTGAACATGGGGGAGGAGGAAGAATGGCTACTCTCCGACCGATGGAGGTGTTGGCCATCCTCCGGGCCCCCACCTCAAACCACCGCCACCTCTTCCCCCCGAAAGGGTGGGTGCAGTCCGATTCTTTTGCGCCACATCCAGTGTACGCAAAGGGCTGTGCAATGTATGCTGGAGGCTTGAGAAGATGGGAAGACATGCAGCCACCTCTCTTTCACAGTTAATTTTTTTCTTTAAAAAAAGAGGTGTACACGAGAGCGTGCATGAGAGGACACCGTCCAGTGCCTTCCCCGTGGATTGGGTCTGAAGGGTGCCGAGGCACATCCCCTTCATCCCAGTTTTCTCATCCCAGTGTTATTATTCAATTGATGTCATCATACAGGCTGGGAGTGGGAGGTGCCAGAGGTTTAGGCTTCAGTTTCTTCTTACTGGAGCTGATTCCGGGAGCACCTCCAACCAGGCTCATGTGCGGTTTCTTCTTTTTGGTTTTTCGGGACTCTGAGTTGTTTGTACCTGGGGAGGCAGAGAGAAAAAAGGAGGATGTAAGCATCCGTACAAGCTTCGGTTCTTTCCCACTTCAAAGTTTCAGTTTCCCAGATTTTTTTTTTGTTGTGTCAGAAGCAACTTGAGAAACTGCAAGTTGCTTCTGGTGTGAGAGAATTGGCCGTCTGCAAGGATGTTGCCCAGGGGACGCCCGGATGTTTTGATGTTTTATCATCCTTGTGGGAGGCTTCTCTCATGTCCCCGCATGAGGAGCTGGAGCTGATAGAGGGAGCTCATCCTGCTCTCCCCAGATTCGAACCTGCGACCTGTCAATCTTCAGTCCTGCCGGCACAGGACTGTTGCTGTTTACTGTTTGTGTTTTTGGTTGTGTTTTGGTTTTTATTGTATTTGTTGTTTGGGCTTGGCCTCATGTAAGCAGCTCAGAGTCCCCATTGGGGAGATGGTGGCGGGGTACAAATAAAGATTATCAATCAATCAACTTTATTTATACCCTGCTACCATCTCCCCGCTACCTCACTACCATCTCCCATAATAATAATAATAATAATAATAATAATAATAATAATAATAATAATAATTAACCCAATTCCTTCCTATAGGCTCCATTGAGTGGGACACCTTGACTGCCTGATTGCTCTTGGGCTCAATTATTTATTTTTTTGCCCTATTGATACCCTGCCTTTCTCTACCCCGAAGAAGACTCAAGGCGGCTTACATATAGGCAATTATTCAATGCCTTAAAACACATACAAAACATTAATTAAATTAAAATTAATACATATTACACATTTAAAATTATTATTATTTATTTATCATTTACAGTATTTGTATACCGCTTTTCTCATCTCGAGGGGGACTCAAATACCCGGCATCTAATGGTTGCCTTTTGTAAGCTGCCCTGAGGCCTCTCAACCACCCCCCCCGGGTTGGGAAGGATGGGGTATAAATGCTTGAAATAAATAAAATAAAAGTATTACATTCAATATTAAAATCACACCATTCAGAAATCGTAGTCAAAGGTGTTCCATGGTCACTGTACATATTCCAACCTGTTATTGCACTGCACTATTCTCCGAAAGCCTGATCCCAAAGACAAGTTTCTTCTGAAGGCTAGGAGGAAGGGAGATGATCTAATATTGCTGGGGAGGGAGTTTCACAGATGAGGGGCCACCACTGATAAGACCCTGTCTCTCGTCGCGGTTACAAAGGAGGCGGGACTGAGAGCAGGTCCCCCCAGACAATCTTAATCTCCGAGATGGTGCATAGGGGAAGATACGTTCAGACATGTGAGCTGGGATGGAACTGTTTAGGGCAGTGTTCCTCAACTTTCCTAATGCCATGACCCCTTAAATGCAGTTCTGTTGTGACCCCCAACCATAAAATTATTTTCGTTGCTATTTCATAACTGTAATTTTGCTACTGTTGTGAATCGTAATGTAAATATCTGATATGCAGGATGTATTTTCATTCAATGGACCAAACTTGGCCAATATGCCCAAATCTGAGTTTTGATGGGGTTGGGGAAGATTGATTTTGTCATTTGGGAGTTGTAGTTGCTGGGATTTATAGTTCACCTACAATCAAAAAGCACTCTGAACTCCACCGACGATGAAATTGAACCAAACTTGGCACACAGAACTCCCACAACAAACAGAAAATACTGGAAGGGTTTGGTGGGCATTGACCTTGAGTTTGGGAGTTGTAATTCACCTACATCCAGAGAGCACTGAGGACTCAAACAATGATGGATCTGGACCAAACTGGGCATGAATATACCCAAATGTGAACACTGGTGGAGTTTGGGGAAAATAGACCTTGACACAAAGAATATTCTGAACCCCAAACTTCCCACACAGATTTTAGGACATATAAAAATATTTTTGTGAAGGGGTTGTGGTAATGGTATATCCCTCCAAGACCTCCTAAAGAGAATAACGCACCACCAAAGGCTTCCAGAGTTGCCCACCCTTTGTCTAAGTCCTGCATTATATAATAATAATAAAACTTTATTTATATACCGCTTTATCTCCCCGAGGGGGACTCAGGGCAGTTTCCAAGTAACATCACCAAAACATACAAACTAAACAGCATAACATAAAATTAACAAAACAACATAAGCATAACATTATCACAATAACACATGTATATTAAAAATAATCCTGCCTGTTCATAGCAATTCAAAAGCTGGGCCAAGGCTAGTGCCAACTCAAAATATGAGGGGGCCGGGAATTAAGTACAGTGTTATAACAGGCTAACAGCAATAGCAGATACACGTCTGTGGCTGCTCATTTCCAGGGCCTATTAGAGGGATGACCGGGGTAATAGGTAAGAAGTGCAAGGCCATATTCAACAATGTTTGGGGCTGGACTAGAACTGGTCATTCTCAAAGGCTTGTTGAAACCACCAGGTCTTCACACTCTTACGAAGGAGGGGAGAGATGGGGCCTGTCTTATTTCCCTTGGAAGGGTGTTCCAGAGGTGGAGGGCCACCACCAAGAAGGCCCTCTCTCTCATCCCTACCAACCATACTTGTGACTGTGGTGGGAGCGAAAGGAGGGCCTCCCTGGAAGATCTTAAGAGTTTGCGCAGATTYATAGAAGGAGATACGATTGTGGAGATTGGCGGGGCATAACTGTTTAGGGYTTTATAGGTCATGACCTGCACCTTGAATTTGGCTCGGCAACTTATCAGCAGCCAATGAAGCTGTTTTAAAAGAGGTGTTGTATGCTCCCTATAGTTTGCKCCAGTAAGGAGCCTGGCTGCTGCCTGTTGYACCAGTTGAAAYTTCCGGGCCATCTTCAAGGGCAGCCCCATGTAGAGCGCATTGCAATAGTCCAATCTGGAAGTAACCAAGGTGTGGACCACCCTGGCCAAGCCAGATTCACAAGGTATGGTTGCAGCTGGTGCACAAGTTTGAGTTGTGCAAAGGCCCTCCTGGCCACCGCCGACACCTGAGCATCAAGTGACAGCGTTGAATCCAGGAGGACCACCAAGCTACGGACCTTCGCCCTCAGGGGAAGTGTAACCCTGTTGAGCACAGGTTGCCACCCAATACCCTGGTCGGCCCCACAACTGACCAGAAGGACCTCTGTCTTGTCTGGATTAAGCTTCAACCTGTTAGCCCTCATCCAGTCCATCACAGCCATCAGACACTGGTTCAAGGTCTGGGAGGCTTCCTTGGAATTCAGTGGAAATGAGTAGTAGAGTTGGGTGTCATCTGCGTACAGCTGGCACCCAACTCCAAAACTCCAGATAACCTCACCAAGTTGTTTCATGTCTTGATGGATGGCAGTACACCATCATGTATAGCTCTGCTTCTTCCATAGCAGTCCACACATGTGCATCCTACCGTTCTGTTGCTGATGCACATCCATGGGGGTGACTGCACAAAGGAAGCACTGAATGCCGCCTCCTGCAACCAACTTAAGATGTATAATGTCTGTATACATCACCAACAGGATTCTGGCTAATGTGTTTTACTTGGTGCGGCTTATTCACAATGTGAACCATCAGGCAGGAGTGTACTTGTGAGAATCATTGCATCAAGCGATCAGATTCCTCTGCAAGAGTAATCAGACCTGGTGGTTGGGTGAGTAAGTGACAGAAAAGTGGAGAAGGGAACAAAAGGGATGGATTTACCCACTCCTGCCTCTTGTCTAGCCACAAGTCCTGCTGCCCATTTGTGTATGGTCCCTACAGATTCCCCCATTCTTGAAGAAATGTACTATAGACAGAGATAAGGGTTGCCAAATGAACCTTTATCTGTCTATGTGATGAACCACAACTGTTGCGTAAGTTTGTTTATGGCTGTTTCGCACACCTAGGTCACAGCTCAAATCAGTTCCTGGTTTCGAACCCCGCCCAACTTAGAACAAGGTCAGGAGGCCAAGAAAACATGGAGAAATAGCTTCCTGTGGCCTTTATAGAGAACATGGAATCATAGGATCATAGAGTTGGAAGAGACCTCATGGGCCATCCAGTCCAACCCCATTCTGCCAAGAAGCAGGAAAATTGCATTCAAAGCACCCCCGACAGATGGCCATCCAGCCTCTGTTTAAAAACTTCCAAAGAAGGAGCCTCCACTACACTCTAGGGCAGAGAGTTCCACTGCTGAACGGCTCTCAGAGTCAGGAAGTTCTTCCTAATGTTCAGATGGAATCTCCTTTCTTGTAGTTTGAAGCTATTGTTCCGCATACTAGTCTCCAGGGCAGCAGAAAACAAGCTTGCTCCCTCCTCCCTATGTCTTCATCTCATGTATTTATACATGGCTATCATGTCTCCTCTCAGCCTTCGCTTCTTCAGGCTAAACATGCCCAGCACTTTAAGCCGCTTCTCATAGGGCTTGTTCTCTAGACCCTTGATCATTTTAGTCGCCCCCCTCTGAACACATTCCAGCTTGTCAATATCTCTCTTCAATTGTGGTGCCCAGAATTGGCCACAGTATTCCAGGTGTGGTCTAACCAAGGCAGAATAGAGTGATAGCATGACTTCCCTGGATCTAGACACTATACCCCTATGGTATAGTGTAAATTAAAATGTAAATGAGTGCACATGCATCTTACATTTGACCCACCCCTGCCCTAAGGTCCCTATTAGTATCCACCTACTATTACTGCTTCTTCTGATAAATAATAATAATAATCATCATCATCATCTTTATTTATACCCTCCCACCATCTCCCCAAAGGGGACTCAGGGCGGCTTACATGAGGCCAAGCCCAGAAATGCATTACAATGCAGTAACAAAAAACTTCTATTTACTTTTCTCCATCTGGACACTATTGTATTTTCTTATTGTGGCCTGTAATTAAGAGTAGTTTATTTGTAGCCTCCTATACCAGGATAAGGCCCCCTGGTGGCGCAGCAGGTTAAACCGCTGAGTTGCTGAACTTGCAGACTGAAAGGTCAGCAGCTCGAATCCGGGGAGCAGGCTGAGTTCCCACCGTTAGCCCCACGTTCTGCCAACCTTGCAGTTTGAAAACATGCAAATGTGAGTAAATCAATAGGCACTGCTTTTGTGGGAAGGTAAATGTGCTCCATGCAGTCATGCTGGCCACATGACCTTGGAGGTGTCTATGGATAATGCCAGCTCTTTGGCTTAGAATTGGAGATAAGCATCCCCCCCCCCCCCCCCCCCCCCGAGTCGGACACGGCTAGACTTAATGTTAGGGGGAACCTTTACCTTTACTTTTATAAGGAAACTCTGGCCATTTCAGTATCACTGAATCATACTTCTATCTTTCTGGAACATTGACCATACTCACTGGAGGTGAAATGAGATACGAGGCCAATGGCATTTGGAGGGCCCCAGATTATCCATTCCACTCTATGCCACACAGGGAACTCTTGCCATAGTAATTTAATCTGCCAATACGTTTCTGTGGAATCTTTGAGCGTGGCAGAGGATTCTGGGTGTATGTGTACACAAGTGGTGCCAGCAAAGTCTGGTAGGCACAGGTGATGCTCTGGACAAACTAAAGAATTGTCCACTGTGGGATTCATCAAATCCACCCTAAAAATTAAGCACCCCTTCTGAACATATTTCTACTATATACAGCCAGAGAAACAGCCTGAAAAGAATGTGGGATGGGCAACAGCTGGTAAAACCTGAGTAATTGGACATGGTCAGGTATGAATGACAGAACAAGTTAGGGGTCACTGGTTCAAATTACAGGAATGGAGATTCAACCGGCACATTAGAAATAACTTCTTGACTGCAAGTACTGTTTAACAGTGGAACTCTCTACCTCAGAGTGTAGTGGCGAATCCTTCTTTGGAGGCTTTTAAGCAGAGGCTGGATGGATATCTATTGGGGGAGCTTTGATTGGGCTATGTATTGTCGAACACAGGGGAACTCCAGACAAGAAACAATCAGGAACAGATAATTACCTCTCAACAAAGGATTCCCCCAGGCAGTAACAAGCCACAAAAAAAAAAAAAAAACCCTGTCAGGCCATCAAATGCTAATCAATGTGTCCAATTGAAACATTCACACCTAGCTCCAACAGACAAGAGTTCTTTCTCCCACCGTGGAATTTCCACAGATATACAGGGTGAGGCAGCATAACTTCCTTTTTTAAAATGCGCGCCATTCAGTCGGTTGAAGACGTAATGAAGGAGTAGTGGTCTCGTTCGTAAAGTTTTGTCCTGACACAGTTCAGTCGCCATCATGCATTGGAACAGTGAGGAGCGTGCTTTTGCCGTTGAGGCCTACTTTTCGAGCGGATTTGGAGTGGCCGGCCCGCTCTCCAGATTTGGCCCCTTGTGATTTTTTTCTATGGGGTTTTTTGAAATCCCGTTTTTATGTGAACCGTCCAAGGACCCTACAAGATTTGAAGACCAACATCCAGGAAGAAATTGCCAACATAACGCCTGCTATGCTGGCAAGAGTCATGACAAATGCCAGAAATCGGTTTACTCAGTGTATGGAGAATGGAGGACGTCACCTACCTAATTTGATCTTCAAAACTACGTAAAACAAAACTTTAGGTATGCGCCTACATCAGGGGTCCCCAAACTACGGCCCGCAGGCCACTTCCGGCCCACCAAGGGCCCTTATCCGGCCCACGGAGGAGGAGCGCCCCCCCCCACACACAGTGCCCCTCCGTTGGCTGGCTCACGCTATCCGTCAGGCCCGATGGACAGCGTGAGCCAGCCAAGGGCAGCTGCTCCACGCGGTCTACTCGCATGAAAAGCACCTTGCGAGGTGCTTTACTTGCAAGTAGGCCGCGCGGGCCTGCTCCCCCCTTGGCAGGCTCATGCTATCTGTCAGGCTGGCTCACGATGGACAGCGTGAGCCAGCCAAGAGAGGCTGCCCTGGCGCTCCATGAAGTCATGCCGGCCACATGACCTTGGAGGTGTCTATGGACAACGCCGGCTCTTCGACTTAGAAATGCAGATGAGCACCACACCCCAGAGTCAGACACGACTGGACTTCATGTCAGAGGAAAACCTTTAACCAGGAAAATTGTGGAAGATCCAGGGTGGGAGAAAGAACTCTTGTCTGTTGGAGGTAGGTATGAATGTTTCAGTTGGCCACCTTGATTGCCATTTCATAGCCTGACAGTTTTTAGGGAGAATCCTTTGTTGAGAGGTGATTAGCTGGCCCTGATTGTTTCTTGTCTGGAGTTCCCCTGTGTTTGAGTGTTGTTCTTTATTTACAGTTATAATTTTAGAGTTTTTTAAATACTGGTAGCCAGATTTTGTTCAGACTAGAAATAGGAAGATTTCCCATTCTCTGCTCCTGGAATTACTGCCTAAAGAGGGCTAGAAAGAACCCCCTCTAAGGGCCCTCCCACACAGCAAAATAAGATATGTGCAATGTGCATAGGAATTTTTTTATTGATTTTTTTTAAAAAAACTATAGTTCGGCCCTCCATCGGTCTGAGGAACAGTAAACTGGCCCCCGGTTTAAAAAGTTTGAGGACCCCTGGCCTACATTATAATTTTTTTAAAAAAATTCTGATTCATACAATGGGTTTTATTAAGTTTAGAAAAAAAGAAGTTATGCTGCCTCACCCTGTATAAACCCAATTTTCCTAGTTTCCAACAGACTTCACAACCTCTGAGGATGCCTGCTATAGATGTGGGTGAAACGTCAAGAGAGAATGCTACTAGAATATGGCCATACAGCCCGACACACCTACATCAACCCATTTGACTGGGCTTTTCCTGCATGATAGGGGATTGGACTGGATGGCCCTTGTGGTGTCTTTCAACTCTCTGATTCTATCTAGTTTTGCTGAAATATTGCATTGCATGACCTATGGGTAACAGACAGTTCAGCCATGTACTTTTCCACTACACACAGCTGCTCAAACGCCTCCCTAAACAGCAAGAACTGTATTCACTGAGTCTCCTAGGCTTATGCAATGATGTCACTGGGCTTGTGCAACCATGAATAGGATGTTACTATTGTGCAATCACCGAAGGACTTCAACTGCTTTCGTATTGGTATTTGTGCTGGTGAGTATGACCAAGAGATTCCAGTCTTAGCCCTTACCATTCTGATTAGTATTCTGTTTAATCAGAATACTATAGAAAGAATGTAAACACTCAAAAGAGTGCTGTTTAATACACTGAGGTTACTGGTTTACAGTGACCACATTTCTGTGTACGAACCCACACGATCTCTTCAATCATCTGGAGAAGATGCTCGCCCTCCCGCCTCCTTCGCAGGCGCGATTGGTAGGGACGAGGGAGAGGACCTTCTCAGTGGTGGCCCCCCAACTCTGGAATTCACTTCCAAAGGATATCAGGCATGCCCCAACATTGGCAGTCTTTAGGAGGAGCCTGAAAACATGGCTGTTCCAGTGTGCCTTCCTGGAATAAAGAAATAATTCTCAGCAAAATGTCCTCAGAATGCACTTTAACTACTGGATTGCATTGGACTGCGCCCCTCACTTCTTTAAAACCCTCCTACCAGATATATCCTACCTTGCTCATGCCCAGCGTTTATTTTTTAAATTTTGGACTATTACATTTGGCCTGGCCATGGGTTTTTAAATCCTCCTGTGTTATTGTTATATGTGATTTATATTAATTTGTATTGCATTGTATTGTTTTGTTTATTGCTTTCTTGTTTATTGATGTGTTGTTGGGCTTGGCCTCATGTAAGCCGCTCCGAGTCTCTTGGGGAGATGGTGGCGGGGTATAAATAAAGTATTATTATTATTATTATTATTATTCTCAGGGCAGATCCTTTATAGGACACACTTCACACCATCCTTGCTACTCAGAGAAACCCAAAGCATTGCCATTTAGACGCGATGCACCCAGGCACCCATTCCTATTCTTACTTGCTTTTGATGAGGCTGAATCAGAGGGAGAGATGTCTGACGATCCGTCCCATTGCAATCGATTCATGAGGGCTTGACTTTCTGCCATATCAAAACTGTCGTTCTCCACGCTTCCTTCTGCCTCAGGAAGTGAGCTAGGAAAAGGGCCAGGCATGTGAGAAGGGGAGACGGAGCAAGACCACCCACCTGAATTTCTACAGACGCTTCCTAACTAAGTTTAATTTGGTGTCTCCAGCAAAAGCAAGCAAGCCATGGCCACAAAGCTTAATGCCTGCCCCTCTTCTCCCTTTCTTCTCATTTAGCTTGTGGGTTTTCTCTACAGCCCATTTACGTGACAATAAAATGCTATCTGGAAGCATTAAAAAACTTCCTAAATACAAGACGTTTGGAGAATAAAACACCTCCAATCATAGGAGTATCTTCAAGCCACCAGAAAGCAACAACAATGGGGGTAAAACGTATTCAGTCAGATACCAATTATACAAGTTGTCCCACTTAAAAAGATGAGAGAGACCTGTAATTGACATCATAGCTAGACCTCAACTATGAGAGACAACATGAGAAAACACATCCAGAAAATCACACTGTCTGATTTTTAACAAATTTATTTGCAAATTATAGTGGAAAATAAGTATTTTGTCTATAACAAAAGTTCATCTCAATACTTCGTTATATATCTTTTATTGGCAATTACAGAGGTCAAACGTTTTTGGAAAGTCTTCACAAGGTTGGTACACACTGTTGCTGGTATGTTGGCCCATTCCTCCATGCAGATCTCCTCAAGAGCAGTGTTTTGGGGCTGTCGCTGGGCAACACGGACTTTCAACTCCCTCCAAAGGTTTTCTATAGGGTTGAGATCTGGAGACTGGCTAGGCCACTCCAGGACCTTGAAATGCTTCTTATGAAGCCACTCCTTTGTTGCCCTGGTGGTGTGCTTGGGATCACTGTCATGCTAAAAGACCCAGCCACATTTCATCTTCAGTGTCCTTGCTGATGGAAGGAGTTTTGCACTCAAAATCTCACGATACGTGGCCTTGTTCATTCTTTCATGTATACCAGTGTTTCTTAACCTGGGGGTCGGGACCTCTGAGGGGGTGTCAAAGACCAAAGACCATCGGAAAGCACAGTATTTTCTGTTGGTCATTGGGATTCTGTGTGAGAAGTTTGACTCAATTCTATTGTTGGTCGTGTTCAGAAGGCTCTTTGATTATAGGTGAACTATAAATCCCAACAACTACAATTCCCAAATGCCAAGGACTATTTTCCCCAGACTCCACAAGTGCTCACATTTGGGCATATTGAGTATTCGTGCCAAGTTTGGCCCAGATCCATCATTGCATGAATCCACAGCACTCCTCTGGATATAGGTGAACTACAACTCCCAAACTCAAGGTCAATACCCACCAAACCCTTCCAGTGTTTTCTAATAGTCATGGGAGTTCTGTGTGCCAAGTTCGGTTTAAATCCATCGCTGGTGGAGTTCAGAATGCTCTTTGATTATAGGTGAACTATAAATCCCAGCAACTACAACTCCCAAATTACAAAATCAATCCTCCCCCCAACCCCACTAGCATTCACATTTGGGCATATTGGGTATTTGTGCTCAATTTAGTCCAGTGAATGAAAATACATCCTGCATATCGGATATTTACATTACGATTTATAACAGTAGTAAAATGACAGGTATCAAGTAGCAACGAAAACAATATTATGGTTGGGGGTCACCACAACATATGGAACTGCATTAAGGGGTCACGGCATTAGCAAGGTTGAGAACTCATGTATACGGATCAGTCACCCTCGTCCCTTTGCAGAGAAAAAGCCCCAAAGCATGATGTTGCCACCCTCATGCTTCACAGTTGGTATGATGTTCTTTGGATGCAACTCTGCATTCTTTCTCCTCCAAACACAACGAGTTATGTTTCTGCCAAATAGTTCTACTTTGGTTTCATCTGACCATATGACATTCTCCCAATACTCTTCTGGATCATCCAAATGCTCTCTAACAAACTTCAGTCGGCCCCAGACATGTACTGGCCTAATCAGGACATGTCTGGCATTGCAGGATCTGAGTCCCTGGCGGCACAGTAGTGTGTTACTGATGGTAGCCTTTGTTACGTTGGTCCCAGGTCTTTGCAGGTCATTCACTAGGTTCCCCTGTGTGGTTCTGGGATTTTTGCTAACAGTTCTTAAGATCATTTTGACCCCATGGGGTAAGATCTTGCGTGGAGCCCCAGATGAAGGGAGATTATCAGTGCTCTTGTATCTCTTCCATTTTATAATTATTGCTCCCACAGTTGATTTCTTCACACCAAGCTGTTTGCCTACTGCAGATTCAGTCTTCCCAGTCTGGTGCAGGGCGACAATTTTGTTTCTGGTGTCCTTCGACAGCTCTTTGGCCTTCACCATAGTGGAGTTTGGAGTGTGACTGCTTGAGGTTGTGGACAGGTGTCTTTTATACTGATAACAAGTTCAAATAGGTGCCATTACTATAGGTAATGAGTGGAGGACAGAGGAGCCTCTTAAAAAAGAAGTTACAGGTCTGTGAGACCCAGAAATCTTGTTTGTTTGTAGGTAACCAAATACTTATTTTCCACCATAATTTGCAAATAAATTGCAAACATCTAATCACCTCTCAACAAAAGATTGCCCCAGGCACTGCCAGGCCATCAAATGCTAATCAAGGTGGACAGTTGAAACATTCACACCTAGCTCCAGCAGACAAGAGTCCTTTGTCCCACCCTGGTCATTCCTTTTTCCTAGTTCCAACAGACCTCACTACCTCTGAGGATGCTTGCCATAGCGGCAGGCGAAACGTCAGGAGAGAATGCCTCTAGAACAGTAGTTCTCAACCTGGGGTCCCCAGATGTTTTGGCCTACAACTCCCAGCCAATTTACCAGCTGTTAGGATTTCTGGGAGTTGAAGGCCAAAACATCTGAGGACCCACAGGTTGAGAACCACTGCTTTAGAACATGCCATATAGCCCGAAAAAACCTACAACAACCCTGCAAATAAATTCATTAAAAATCAGACAATGTGATTTTCTGGATGTGTTTTCGCATGTTGGCTCTCATAGTTGAGGTCTACCTATGATGTCAATTACAGGCCTCTCTCATCTTTTTACATGGGGGAACTTGTACAATTGGTATCTGACTAAATACTTTTCCCTCCACTGTATAACCAATACTGTTTTCCAATTTTGTTTTAATGACTGAAAACACATTTTCTTTGAATCAGTTCACCTCATATATTCAAGTTTCTCAATTCTCCGCTCAACTAAATGGTCTGCAAAACATTAAGATTACAGAAAGTTGTCCAATTGGAACAATGTTACACGCAGTATAGAAATGAGCTTTAAAAAAAGAAAAAGAGCGAAGAGGACACATAATTCTTCTCCAGAATATTTGTAGTTTCATTTAGTATGAACCATATTCACATGTATTGCGAGAGGAGCGTTACACAATGCAATTGCCATGCCCCCGTCCCATCACACTTACGCAGAGGGTCCCAGGAGGTAGACCCTGACTGACCTCCGCTGTTCATCTGTGTGCTGGGGACAGCGCAGGGACCTACAGGCAAAGGAAAAGGTCAGACTGGGCACAGGAAGTGCAATACGTATTTCCTGTTTTATCCCCATCTCCTATTACGCTAAACCCATCCATTGTCCAAAAGGATGGACACATTTACATGCTGAGCACTGTAATGGGTATCCAAAGTTATCACAAGGAACCATGAGTATTCCTCCCCTGAACCAGGCATGTGCAAACTTCACCCCTTCAGATGTTTTGGACTTCAACTCCCACAATTCCTAACAGCCTACCGGCTGTTAGGAATTGTGGGAGTTAAAGTCCAAAACATCTGGAGGGCTGATGTTTGCCCATGCCTGCTCTGGACTAAATGAAGAACATTGCATGTTATGCAACATTGCAAAATGTGGGAGCAACACAAAATGCAGCATTCCAAGACCCACAAACTCATCTGAAAAAGCAACCTGGTGGCTCTCATGGCGGCAAAGTTGAGGTTGGTAGGGCGCAGAGAAAGACAATTTCAGATGTAGCCAGATTTAGGGTGTTGAGCAATCTATCATCAGGGCACAGGGTTTTTAGGTGACACTTCTAGTTAAAACGCGCAGCTCAAGATTTAAGTAGCTCCTAGAACTGAAAAGTTTTTTTACAGCATGTGCAGTAGCCCATGGGAGCTGAACAGCACTGACAGATTAGTTTCTACTATCAGAAACCAGTGGCTGCAACTATCTGCTAATATACGTACACTGGGAAAGGACTCATGGATACCTCATTCTGCAATATTTACAGTATCCTTCAGAATTTCTTTTTTTTTTAATTGGCACAGAATTTGATTAACATTTATTTTAAGTGCAGGGCATACATAGTCCTGGATATTCTCTTTTCAATGCAGTGAGCCACATTCATTGAAGTTTCCTGTTTTGTTTTGATTTTTTGTTTTATTGGGAAATGTTACAGATATTTTCCTATCAAGTAGACCAAAGTCCCCAGTGACTCAATGGGTTAAACCCTTGTGCCGCCAGGGCTGCTGACTGAAATGCTGGTGGTTCGAATCCAGGGAGCGGGGTGAGCTCCCATCTGTCAGCTACAGCTTCTCATGCGGGGACATGAGAGAAGCCTCCAACAGGATGGTAAAACATCTGGGCATCCCCTAAGCAACGTCCTTGCAGATGGCCAATTCTCTCACACCAGGAGTAACTTGCAGTTTTTCAAGTCACTCCTGACACACACCAAAAAAATCAAGTAGACCTCTATCCGTAACCTTTCCTTGTGATCCAGGAAATTAACAACTTAGCGAAGGTTGGGAGCCACTTTCCAGATTGCACACATTATCAAGGACTACATTTTAGTAAAGACAACAATTAAATTATAAGTACAATTGTGCAATTATAATTACCATCACTACAGCTGCTTGAGGGGGGAGCACGATATAAATAAATAATAATACAGATTGTTTTAATTAGAAGTGACTTTAATCCATTTTAAGGAGAAGTGCAATCGTGTTAGGTACTCCAGTGGCTACTGAACATGGAGCCCTGGAGCCTTTGGCAAGATCTTCCCCTTTTGTTCCAGAAACTGAGACAAGAATGTTGCAAAGTCATGCTCTGTTTTTCATTTTCTGTCTCCCTTTCCCTTGACCATTTCCAGATGATTTTTGCTAAAATAATAATAATAATAATAATAATAATAATAATAATCAGATTTCAAGAGCTTTTTAAAGGTTAATGGGTAGTCTAGGACATTAAAGGGTGGTTTAGGGGCCTATATATATATATATATACACACACACACACACACACACACATACATACATATACACACACACACACACACACACACACACACACACACACACACACAGAGAAGGGCTCAAGGACTGCAAGAAAAGGGGTTGAGAACCAGGTCGGCCACAGCCCACACTCTCCTTCCCTCATTATAGCTATGATGTAATGTTAGTATTTACTAATCTTTACCAACTTGTTAGTGGTAAGTGTGACACTGGAGCAGATGTAATGCTGTAATGGTGGCGGAAGTCAACAAAGGACAGAAAAGGTCAAAACTTTCATGGAAACTCAGTCCTGTATCAAATATCCAGCCTTTCAGCCATGGTTAAGAGAGAGCTTATCTACTTATCGTTTCAGCATCATTTGAAGCATTGCTCCTTAACACAATTTAATCAAATGGGAAAATAATGGCAGCCTCCTATGGCCACCTGGTGAAAAAGTTATCTATAGTGTTCAGACTGTGAACTGAAGCCCAAACGCCAGCACCCTTCAACACACACTCAGATTTCTACAAAAACAGAGGGACGATTCAGTTCACCGGTTAAAAGAAATCAAGCAGATTTCTCTTAAGTGGCTTCTACATCCCTTCTGCCTGTCATAATCTGTCACTAGACGCAGTTACATCAGGTTTGTAAACACTCATTTGCTTAATTAGGTGCGGAACGTTAATTATCACTTCCAAGAAAGTAAGCAGAGACATCTTTAAATATTCAAAACTAGCCGCCCCCTGCCACACGTTCTGGTGAACTGGAAAATAAAGTAATGAGAAAGTGTTGGTTTCCTTGTGTGTTATTGTCTATGTGTGAGTTATATTAATTGTATTGTTTATTTTGCTTATTCCTGTTGTTTTTATTGATGTGTTGTTGGGCTTGGCCTCATGTAAGCCGCTCAGACTCCCTTGGGGAGATGGTGGCTGGGTGTAAATAAAGTTTATTATTATTATTATTATTATTATTATTATTATTATTATTATTATATATGTACATTCTTTCTACTTGTGGGTAAACAGTATTTCTTGCTATTTCTTTGTCAGTGTTGATGTGGAGATTGTCTGGTTTGCCTTCTCTGGAACATGTAACCTACAATTGTTCCTCTTAAGGGGTCCCTTTCAAATCTATGATACGATATCTGTGTGTGTGTGTGTGAATCATATCTATCTATCTATCAATCTATCTATCTATCTATCTATCTATCTATATCTATGGTTGGATGGCTCTTTGTCAGGAGGGCTTTGATTACATTTTCTTGCCCTGGTGAAGGGAGTTGGACTGGATGGCCTTAAGTATTTTCAGTTGGTCATGGGAAGTTTGCTCCAATTCTGTTGTTGGTGGGGTTCAGAATGCGCTTTGATTGTAGGTGAACTATAAATCCCAGTAACTACAACTCCCAAATGTCAAAGTCTATTTTCCCCAAACTCTATCTGTGTTCATATTTGGGCATATAGAATATTCGTGCCAAGTTTGGTTCAGACCCATCATTGTTTGAGTCCACAGTGCTCTTTGAATGTAAGTGAACTACAACTCCCAAACTCAAGGTCAATGCCCACCAAACTCTTCTAGTGTTTTCTGTTGGTCATGAGAGTCCAGTGTGCCACGTTTGGTTCAATTCCATCATTGGTAGAGTTCAGAATGCTCTTTGATTGTAGGTGAACTATAAATCCCAGCAACTACAACTCCCAAATGACAAAATTAATTTTTTTAGTGATGGTCACTCCTTGGGTTGGTAAATGTCTTGTGGTCAAATTTGGCAGCAATTCGTCCAGAGGTTTTTGAGTTATGTTAATCCCACAAACGAACATTACATTTTATTTATATAGACTGCAAGTTCTCTTTTAATCTGGTGATCGTAGCATTGGGAAGAGACTCCAAAGGTTTAAGTATCACAAACAACTGATGAAAGGTAAATGATCACAGGCAAAAATAAAGCTTGCAAGGCCAGCTTAAAAAAAAACTGGGAATTCTCCTCTTGCTCCCATTTTCATCATTTTATCCCCTTTAACAGCAGCAGGGACTTGCATGAGTGACAGGCAGCATAGCAAGCCAATGCAACTCCAAGATTCTCCCCTTGAGTTTCTAATGGAGATTGTGCACTGTCCTGAATCAAAGGCAGCGAGGGGGAAGCCAAGCAAAAATGTTCTTTCTGATTGGATGCAATTGGCCTGGATTCCCACCCAACCACCCCAACCCTTGCAATCTTGTGAATACCTCCCACTCTCCTTGTGACCCGGGAACTGTTGCACAGGCAGAGGAACTGAAAGAGGCTACGGGGCTCAAGAAAGTGGAAGAGAGGTCTGCTCTCACCGTGTACACATCTTCTTGGTGTGTTCAGAGATCACCCCACATTGCTATAGAGAAAGGGAAGAAGAAGAAAACATGAACAAACAACAAAAAGGAAGAGTCCATCCAGATTTCAAAACATGACAGAATTTTAACCTCTATTCAGCAAAATGTTTGCCATGACAGTTCAGAGTGGCATGAGAAAAATGCAAGAGTACAAGGAGCCATTGAATTTCATGTCTCTGTGAACCTAAAGTATCCACCCAGAGAGGAGGTGACTTTTCTGATCTCTAAATTAGTCATTGTTCCAGGTTTGCCTTTTCCCAATCTGGAAGTGCACCAAACAAGTGATGTCAGGAAAAATACAACACATGAGCACACCTGCTGATGAGTAACAATAAGCCTTTGAGAGTTTAAAGTACTTTAGTTATGAGAAATTGGGAAAAAACTGCTCCAATTACAGGTGGAAAACTTCTCAGTAGCAATGATGCTTGCTAAAAAAAAAAGACAAACTGACAGTGATGTCAATCCTAACCAAGAGGAGGATATAGCAGAAGGAGGAAGAAAAAAAAACAGGCATTTGGAGCCAATATAGTCTGGATTATTGCTTCTTAAACTGTGGGCCCAGAACCCATATGCTTAGTTCAAGGTGGAGGTCATGAAAAATTTGAAAAAAAAAGTTCTCAACACCACCTAATGGCTGTTTTAAACATTACACAAATCTGTTATTATTTATTTATTGTAATTATATCCCGCCCTTCTCACCTCAAAAGTTCAAGGTGGAGGTTGTGAAAAATTGGAAAATAATTAAGTTCTCAACACCACCTAATGGCTGTTTTTTTTTAAATTATTTTATTTAGGTAAACATACATTTGCAAGTGTTTGTTGCATATAGTGCAATACTTTCTATCTATTAATGTTCTATAATCATTTATATCATAATATATTTCTATTAAGGGGTCACAGTCTACTATCTAAATATTACATAGAAAGATATCATAGATTCTTACTTTACATCCACTTCTTCCTTGTCTACAGTCTTATAGATTCCTCTATATACATTTTTAATTGAACTTTACATTAAGGTGTTGAATCATTGGTTGCCATTCATTAACGAAGTTGTCTAATATTTCTCCTCTTAATAATACAGTTATTTTGTCCATTATCAACATATCTATAATATATTTTTCCCATTCTTTTAAAGGAGGTATATCTGGGGTTTTCCAATATCTAGCATATACTATTCTAGCTGCCACTGTTGTGTAAAACAATTTTTTTCCAAATTTTCTTTCTAATTCTTCCTCGGGCATATTCAAAAGGTACATTTGAGGTGTTATTTTGAAATTTGTGTTTAACATTTTTTCAAGATATACATTTTTTTTACTTTGCTACAAGTCCACCATGTGTGGTAGAATGTACCTTTTTCTTTCCCACATTTCCAACATTTGTTGGAACAATTGTACATCTTAGCTAGTCTCTCTGGAGAGAGATACCATCGCAAATTCATTTTATAAACATTTTCCTGGCTGTTTTAAACATTGCACAAATCTGCTATTATTATTTACTGCATTTATATGCCAACCTTCCCATCCCGAGAGAAGAAAACTCAGCAAGGGACTCAGCAAGGGACTCACCGTGGTAAGCAAAGTACGAAGCTCCTCAGGGCCAAGTGTTTCATAGTTTATTCCAGCAGAGTTGTTATACTATAACGGAGAACAGACAGAGATTGAAATACTTTAGGTGATACATCAAATCAAAGTAATTATTTTCTGCATTCAAATCTCCAAGAATAATATTCTTGAAAGCTACAATACCATTGAAAGACCTTGGAAGTCTTCTGAGATTCTAGTTGTCAGCTACAGACAAGAGCTGTAAAGACCCTGGGGTTCCGGAAGAGGGACAGAACAAGTCACAAGGTGTGATGCTGAGCTAGACTCACCTTAAATGGGTCTGGGTTACTACTCAGCTCCCCTGGGGAAGAGGAAAAAGAAAAGAAAATGTGTAAAAGTGGGGGTACAGGTGGCCTCCATTCCACCATGGCATTCTTAAATACATATACCCAAGAAGTCTGTGTTTGTTCTTAAATGTAAACTTATATATACCATGATGCCACCTGAGTGTCAGGCTGCAAGACCGTATGAAAATCTGACAGCAAAAGCAGCCAGATTTTGCTCTTTGCACAAAAACAAATATGAGAGTGAGTTAAAATGTATTCACACTTTGGTTATATTAAAACTTCTGTTGGCTCTACAGTCCTATCAGCACTTTCCATACATGACCTCTATCTCCCTAGTCATTGATGTGCAGTTTTGAAAGTTTTACATCTCTTTATTTCCGACTGCAGTGGAAGGAAAAATGGCTGCCCCCTTCCAATCTGACGAAAGAAGTGCAATAGTTTTATTTATTTCATATCAAAAGTATTGCATAAATTAGTATAAAACCGATAAAAATGGAAGGAGCACAGGTGGCTAAATATCTTTTGACCAAAAACGGGCAACAGCAATGGCATTGTCTGTAGCCTCCAACCATTCTTCCTCTGTACATGAAACAGGGCATAGTGGACAAGCATACAGATGTGGAGTTGTCTGCTCTGCACCACAGTCACATAGTGCAATAGTAGAACATTGCAAAAAAGTCCAACACTTTAAAGTGCTCATTACAGTGGGATGTTCAATGAAGAGCTGAAGCCTAAAATTCAGACAAAACGCAGAGAACTGCTATCTAAGGGTGTTGTGCTGTTGCATGACAATTCAGATCTGCGCAGCGCTGCCCATACTGTTGACTCTCTCCAAAAACTTGATTCTGAAGTGCTAAAAGCATCATCCCTACAGTGCTGAACTTGCCTCATTGAACTATCACCTGTTTGAACTCCTGAAAGAAAACCCTACGTTGATGAATGTCTGATGAAGAGGTGAAGGTAGCAGTATATAGTGATGCAAAGGTCAGTAAACAACAACAAAACAAAAAAAATCCCCTAAAAGTAGTCCAGAATACAGCAATAGAAGTAGCTTCCCTTCTGCATCTCTGCATGATTTGCTGCTCTGGCCTTGCCTCTTTTAAAGTAGGGAATTCTGCATCACTTTCAATTACATCAGTCAGCAAATGTACCTCCTCAAAAAGATCTGACTGTACATTTGGCTGCTGTGGAAGTCTACGAAACTCCTGGTGAAATGTTACTATGGTGTGTAATATAGGCTCCTAGAATGTTGGGATGACTATCAAGGAGCTCTCCCGCAGTAGACTCACCATTTTTATGTTTCAGGGACTTGGATCTTCGAGGGGAATTGGGATTCTGAAGTAAGAGGGGAAAAGAAAAAACAGTCACTTTTCAAAAGTAACTTCCAGGTATCTAGGCATCCTAATGCTAGCCCTCAAATGAAGTCACTATCTGCTCAACTCAACCTTCACCACAACATACTTCAACCATCTCTGCAGGTGTAGCAGTAAAAGCAGACAAGAAGCCTCCTGATATTCCTAGGATGGGCAACTGTTGAGGTTAGGGGGCAGTGCTGGCACCTGGGGGCCCTCACCCCCTGTCAAAAACATCAAATGGTCACCTCCAAATGCCTTGTAAGAGGGCCTGGTGGCAATTTCGCTATGCAATTTTGTCCTGGACATTTTGAGCACAGGAGTGGCTTGTTTCATTTCGTTTTTTGAAACCGGAAGAGACTTGGAAGACAGTTCAGCGGGACTCCAAAACATGATGACATTGCTCTCCATAAGCCTAGAAGTCATTATGACATAACTTGGGGGGGGGGGGGGGAGAAAATGGTGGTTGGAGGGATACTAGAGGCCATATGTCCTTAGTGAACTACACTTTCCCATTCTGTGGTACACAAAAGCATGCAACAGAGTTACAGGTGAAGGCCTGAACTCAAATTAGTCATTCTATCTAGAGCAGTGGTTCTCAACCTGTGGGTCCCCAGGTGTTTTGGCTTACAACTCCCAGAAATCCCAGCCAATTTACCATCTGTTAGGATTTCTGGGAGTTGAAGGCCAAAACATCTGGGGACCCACAGGTTGAGAACCACTGCTCTAGAGTGTATTCATAAAGTCAGAAGGACTTATATAAGTTTGACTACAACTCAACAACTATCAGGCTATACTACAGGGGATTAACACAGGCATGGGCAAACTGGTCCTCCAGGTGTTTTTGATAGGATGTTCAGAATTGTGGGAGTTGAAGTCCAAAAAACGTGGAAGGCCGAAGTTTGCCCATGCCTGGACTAACAGATTTAGGCTTTAAATTTCAAACTAAGGTATTTCAAAGGAGGCCTTTTGTTCAAAACACGTTGGTCTCTATAAATACATTTCCATGCACAGAAGGTTTCCCCTTTGATGTTTTTGTACTGTCTAGCAGCATTTGAAGAGAAATGAACTTGTGATGACTCAAGTGAGGCAGGTCACACACTGAAAGATGAAAGTGCTACACATGCCTGAAGACTATATTTTAGGTACCTGTTTATTCAATAATTTAAAAGGAAATTCTTACCTTATCTGATTTTCTCTTCTTTGCTGAAAAAAAAGAAAAGAGAGCTGTTTTAAATACCACCAGAAGAATAAATACAACCCACTCCCCCTCAGTTCAAGGTCATTTCCCCTGAAATTCCAGATTTGGGACAACATGCTCTGAGCTGATGTCTGCAGATGCTAACTGTGTTTTGATGGCAGAGTTGAGTTGCTGGGAACCTTTTACTCTTCCCTTTTCACTGTGTAGATGTTCTCAGATACTACTGTTCAAAGTCTACCAGGCTCAATCCTTCTGCCTCATTCTACCTAAAGATTGAAATTGGGTTCTTAAAAGGCAATCAATTCACAAGAATATGTGAAAAGCACTGCAGAAATAGACTACAAGTCTATCTGTTCAAACATTCTTTTTCACAGAGTAGGCAACCAAATTGTGATGGAAAGCTTCCAAGATGGGTAGATGAGCAAGTACTGTGAATATGCTGCCTTTGATACAATATCTATCTATCTATCTATCTATCTATCTATCTATCTATCTCCCGCCCTTCTCCCCACAAGGGGGACTCAGCGCAGCCTCACATGAGCATCAGAGGATGCTAACAGCATAAATACCATAAAAATTACAATTCACAATAAAATCATTTTAAAACATTGTACATCATCAATAAAATTTAACAATAAATTAATAGATTAACGTGCCAGTAAAAACCAAGCCGAGCTGGGAGAATCCATGTCGCAAAATCCAAATTTCCTTTTCCTATTGCCGCTGGCCTCTAATCGAATGCCTGGCCCCAGAGCCAGGTCTTCAGTTGTCTTCTAAAGGACAGGAGGGAGGTGGCCAACCTGATGTCCTTAGGGAGAGAGTTCCACAGACGGGGGGGCCACTGCCGAGAAGGCCCTGTCTCTCGTCCCCACCAACCGTGTTTGCGAGAGTGGTGGGATCAAGAGCAGGGCCTCTCCTGATGATCTTAAGCTTTGTGATGGTTCATAGCAGGAGATACGTTCGGACAGGTAATCTGGGCCAGAACCGTTCAGGACTTTAAAGGTTAAAACCAGCACTTTGAATTGTGCCCAGAAGCTAATCGGCAGCCAGTGGAGCTGGCGCAACAGAGGAGTGGTACGCTCCCTGTATGCAGCTCCACTTAACAACTTGGCCGGTGACCGCTGGATTAATTGGGAGCTTCCAAGAAGTTTTCAAAGGCAGCCCCACGTAGAGAGCGTTGCAGTAGTCTATTCGGGATGTAACCAGAGCGTAGACCACTAGAGATAATACTAATGGCGATCAATATCGTATCCTTCAAACCTGAGTTCTAACTACTGCAAGAGACTTGTATTGGTACTAGTTTATTCCATTAGTCTTCATATATTTCTTTATCATGTCAGAAGCAAATTGAGAAATGCCTTCACGTGACTCCAGATTATTAACCTCTACTATCCAGAAACTTTGTCAGGGACGTACCTTTCTTCTCAGATCCATATGACCAGTCATTATCATTTATATCATCATTATCTTCTTGATCACTCTCTGATTTATTCATGTTGTTACTGCTTGCTATCCTATAGGAACAGGAGAGAAGGAAACATTAATTTGGGAAGTGTTTGCAAAGGAGTAAGAGTTTAAACATAAAAGTGTGAAATACCCAGTCATGGCAGACAACATTCCTGAAAGAGAGCTTTAAACAAAATAGTTTTTTTAACAGGGAGCACTGGGTCTGTCCTATGACAGATTCGTGGTTCTCATAAAGGCAGTAAAGAGACCAGAAAAGCAAGGCAAACGCCCTATGTTAGGGGGTCAAACTGATTTTTGTTGAGGGCTAGATCGGCCTTATGGTTGCCTTCAAAGGGATTTTTGTAATTGTAAGACTGTATAAATATAAGTATGTTGCCCAGGCACTAAAAGCCTTACAGGCCACATAAAATGACCTGGCAGTCTGGATTCAGCCCATGAGCCTTACATTTGGCACGTATGCCCTATGTAAACGAGTACCTAACCTCTAGTATAGTGGTTCTGTATCTTTGGATTTCAGGTCCCAAAATTCCTAACTATGACTTCATAAACATCAGGAGAACCAAGGATTGAGAATCACTGCCCAAAACAGAACCTCATACCCTCTCAAATAAGTAGTTCTCTGTCAATATATGTTTGTGGTTGTTCATTCGTTCCGTCGCTTCCGACCAGTCCACGCCAGAGCTCCCTGTCGGCTGTCACCACCCCCAGCTCCTTCAAGGTCAATCCAGTCACTTCAAGGATACCATCCATCCATCTTGCCCTTGGTCAGCCCCTCTTCCTTTTTCCCCAGCATAATTGTCTTCTCTAAGCTTTCCTTTCTTCTCATGATGTGGCCAAAGTACTTCATCTTGGTCTCTACTATTTTTCCCTCCAATGAGCAGTTGGGCTTTATTTCTTGAAGTATGGACTGGTTGGATCTTCTCGCTGTCCAAGGCACTCTCAGCACTTTCCTCCAGCACCACAGTTCAAAAGCGTCTATCTTCCTTTGCTCAGCCTTCCCTATTGTCCAGCTCTCACATCTGTAGGTGACTACAGGGAATACCATTGCTTTAACTATGCGGATCTTTGTTGCCAGTGTGATGTCTCTACTCTTCACTATTTTATCAAGACTGGTCATTGCTCTCCTCTCAAGAAGTAAGTGTCTCCTGATTTCCTGGCTGCAGTCTGCGTCTGCAGTAATCTTTGCACCTAGAAATACAAAGTCTGTCACTGCCTCTGGGTTTTCTCCCGCTATTTTCCATTTGTCAATCATTCTTGTTGCCATAATCTTGGTTTTTTTTATGTTTAACTGCAACCCAGCTTTTGCGCTTTCTTCTTTCACCTTGATTAGAAGGCTCCTTAGCTCCTCCTTGCTTTCTGCCATCAGAGTGGTGTAATCTGCATATCTAAGGTTGTTAATGTTTCTTCCTTCAATTTTCACCCCGGCCTTGCATTCGTCAAGCCCTGCACATCACATGATGTTTTCTGCATACAAGTTGAATAGGTTGGGTGAGAGTATACAACCCTGCCGTAGGCCTTTCCCAATCTTGAACCAGTCTGTTGTTCCCTGGTCAGTTCTTACTGTTGCTACTTGGTCCTTATACAGATTCCTCAGGAGAGAGATAAGAGATAAGATATACATATACATATATATAAGATTTCCAGGTAAAAAGTTGAAAGCCTTCTATATTAGGACTTAATGTGATGCTGCAGGAAAGGTTAAATATGAGTTAATCGTACTGTACTGTGACCAGAGACAATTCTTCACTTCTTTTTAACAATGATTATTTTGAAGTATTTAAAGTGCTCTGGAAAAAAAACCTCTTAGCAATGCTTTCAATGCTAAAAGCATTGCTAAGAGATTTCATGCAGACCACTCTAACTGTCCCTGTCTGAAAATGGGGGCAGAGGCAGGGAGATAAAAGGAGAAGGAGGGAAAATAGTTTAACAAAAACCCTTTGGATTCAGAAAAGTCGTGTCAGAAGCAGGGACCTTCTTTGATTCACACATCTGCTCATTAGTGAGGATGTCATACCAGATCAAACATCACAATTGCTGATCTGAGCCACATGTATTTCTGAAGCAAGCTGCCCAAGTGTCAAAGTTGGTTTGGGGCTCAACATTTTGCATCCTGAGAACATCCACTTTCTTCATGTACACAACAAATAAGATGTCAGCTCTGAAAGCATCAAGACTGATTTCCTTAGGCCTCATTGTCCAAGTACGATGGCCTTCCAAGTATAGTGTCTTGGTGGTGGATACATAGGTGACTGTAGAGCTCTATTCTTGATCCACATGCTCTTCCACAGTGAAGACATCGATTTCCAGGTGGAAGGCAGTTCTGGTCAGGGTTGGCTTGATGTGTCTTCCTCTTGGCACCTTTCTCCCTTTCGCCCTCCATTCATGCCTCTTCAAATTCCACAGCACTGCTGGTCACAGCTGACATCCAGCTAGAGCACTCAAGGGCCAGGGTTTCCCAGTTCTCGGTGCCTATGCCACAGTTTTTAAGCTTTATCTTTAAATCTTTTTTACCGTCTACCAACATTCTGTTTTCCATTCTTGAGTTGAGAGAATAGCAATTGCTTTGGGAGATGGTGATCGGGCATTTGGACAACGTGGCCAGTGCAGTGGAGTTGATGGTGTAGGTCTTTGCTTCTTCCAGCACGCTGACATTTGTCCGCCTGTCTTTCCAAGAAATTTACAAGATTTTCTGGAGGCAATGCTGATAGAATTGTGACATCTGTAGATTGTCCACATTTCACAGGTGTATAGCAGTGTTGGGAGGACAATAGCTTTATAAACAAGCACCTTGGTCTCCCTATGGATGTTCCGACCTTCAAACACTCTTTGCTTTATTCAGAAAAATATTGCTTTCACCGAGCTCAGGCGGTGTTGTATTTCAGTGTCAATGTTGACTTTTGTGGAGAGGTGGCTGCCAAGGTAGTTGAAATCGTCAACATTTTCTAACATCACACCATTAAGCTGTATTTCTGGCACTGCAGAGGGATTGGCTGGTGCCTGCTGGAAGAGCACTTTGGTTTTCTCAATGAGAGACCGAGCTTCTCATATGCTTCTGCAAATGTGTTTAGAGTGGCTTGAAGGTCTTCTTCTGAATATGCACAGACTACATTATCATCGACATATTAGAGCTCTAAAACAGATTTTGTTGTGGCCTTGGTTTTGGCTTTCAGTCTGCTTAAGTTAAATAGCTTGCCATCTGTCCGATAGATGATTTCCCCTCCGGTGGGAAGCTTCCCATCAACAAGATGAAGTATCATAGCGAAGAAGTTGGAAAATAAGGTTGGGGCAATAACTCATCCCTGTTTGACACCTGATTCCACCTTAAATGGGTCACTTTGGGGGTCATTACTGTCCAAGACTGTTGCCATCATGTAATCGTGGATGAGCCACAAGATGTTCACAAATTTATCAAGGCATCTGAATTTTTGGAGAATGGTCCATAGAGCACTGTGATTTACTGCGTCAAATGCCTTTGCAAGGTCAATGAATGCCATGTACAGAGGCTGATTTTGTTTTCTACATTTTTCTTGGAACTGTTGTGCAGTGAAGATCATGTCCACTGTTCCTCTGGAGGGGCAGAAGACATTCTGGGAAGGTGTCTTCTGAAACAGGAAGAAGGCAGTTTGCAAGGATTCTTTGCAAGTATTTTTCCAGCAGAGGTTAGAAGGGCGATACCTCTATAGTCTCCACAGTTTGTTCTTTCCCTTTTTTTGAAAAGGGTGATGATGATGGCATCCTTGAAGTCTGCTGGGATTTTCTCGGTTACCTCGACTTTTTCAATGAATTGGTAAGAGTTGCTGTATCAGCACAGGTCCACCCTCTTTGAAGATTTCAGCAGGGATCCCATCAGGTCTGCTGGCTTTGTTATTTTTTTTGTTGGCTGATGGCGTTGCTGACTTCCTCCAAACTAGGCCATGTTGCAAGCTCATCCCTGGTTTCTTGTTACGACAACAAATAAGATGTCCACTCTGAAAGCATCTAGACTGATCTTGGAAGTATGTAGGCTAACAAAAACTGGTGATATCTTAATAAGAGTGAGTTAAGATGGATGGTGGAGATGGAAACCAACATAAGTAAGCAAGGATTTCCATCTACTAGCAGGTAGACCTTAGTGGCCATTCAGAGCTCCACCATGATGAGCAAAAAGAAAAGCAGAATCACAAAGAAACTGCATTTGTCAGCAGGGCACAGAATGTAAAAGTACAGAACAGAAGCCACATGACTGGAATGGGAACCCAAAGGCTAGCCAAAATAGATTGCATTTGTCCCAGCTCAAATCCTAGCCCTCTTTTCTTTTGCTTCCACTCCTATCCTCTCGCTCTCTCCAGTCCTCCTCACCTCCGATTGGCGATGCGGCTGCTGTTTCTGCCCATACCAAGGCACTTCTCCAAATGTGGGGCGAAGCGGGAGGCGGCGATGCTTCGACTGCAGTTTGGGCAAACACATTCCTTGTTCTTCCACTGGTTATAGACTTGGCCAAAGATATCCAGCCCTGGCTGATCTACAATTTCTGCAGGTAAAACAGGGGGGAAAGGGAGGGTTTCTTAACAGGAGGAGGAGACAGGAAAAGATCTGCACATTCAAGGAAGTCAAGAGAACCACTGCTAGGGATTACTTTGAATCTACTGCAAAAAAATTTTAAAGATGAGCACCACTTAAGTTAGAGATCTACATTGAAATCACTACATACCAGATGTTAGGAGAAAATAGCAGTCATCACATATTGTAAAACATAAAAGAAGATAAACTGCACTCACATTTTGCACATCTTTCTATCCATGTGTACATATTTTCCCATCTCTTCTTATTTTTAATTTAAAGAATAACAATAATTGTAATCTTTCCTATGCAAGTGGTGTATAGTAACATTCAGCAGTCATAAATGAAACTTAACAAAAAAGGTAATAAGAAGTGGCCCAGCATTGCCTCCTGCCAACATTTCCAGAGAGACTGCAGAAGAAAATGAAGGTATTTGGGCTTGTAGGGAGTGGGGGCATTTTCTCCTGGCATCCATGCAGTTGCACATTCATGCTCTTTTCTAGAGTTGGAAGCCCTCAAACAGATTTCTTTAGCACCTGGACTTCTGAGTGAAATCTGTCATTTTCTCTACAATAGGTATCATAGTCATTCGCCACTCAGGTACTATTTACTCACTTCCACACCGATTCAAAATGGAGGCCAGACAGTGACTTGTGCCCCCAGCTGTGTAGACCTCACCTCCTTAAGGTACTATTATTAAACTATAGTATGGCTCAACTATCTATGGGACTGATATCTACAGTTTCATTTACCCCTTTCAAACAAAATATATATATCTAGACATTTTTCCATTGTTATTCTTGGGCCATTCTTTGGAATTCTTCATTTCAATAGAGTTGGGTATTATGAAGTTGCGTCAGGCAGACCTAAGGATTCTTAGAAAGATATCCTCATTAGGAATTTTCTTGAGCTTCCAGTGTAACTCTGAGTATTCTGGGACCAGAAATAAGGTAATTTAATGGTGTTCAATTGTATGTGCAGTTTCATATAACAGTGGTTCCGCCAGAAATGTATCCTCCTCAGACATGGAGGTCTTACAGTCTAGAATATTTTGGAATGAAGAATAAAATGTTTAGCACAAGTTGTTCACATCTTTACTGTCTCCAAATCTTTTTTCTAAAAATTGTACCATACATACTTGAGTATAAGCCGAGTTTTTCAACCTTTTGTAGGCTAAAAAAGCCCTCCCCCCGGGCTTATACTCAAGTCAAAGTTATTTATTATTTTACTCTGTTGTTGTTATTACATTTATTATTTTACTCTGTTATTATTATTATATTATTTTACTCTGGTATTATTATATTTATTATTTTACTCTATTTATTATTATTACATTTACATTAATTTACTTTATTATTATTTTATTACATGTATTATTTGTTATTATTACATTTACATTAATTTACTGTATTTATTATTATTACATTTCCATTATTTTACTCTATTATTTTTATTACATTTATTATTTTACTTTCTTTTTTATTATTGGAAGGATATGTAAGCACATTAACATTGAAGAAGGTTAGAATAATGGTTTACTCAAAGTTGGACAGTCTTATCTTAAATTACAGTGTTATGTAAATATTCAAAAATATTTAACTTACTGATGCCTCAATTAATGTAATTTTATTGGTATTTATTTTTATTTTGAAATTTACCAGTAGCTGCTGCATTTCTCACCCTAGGCTTATACTCAAAGTCAATACAGTTTCCCATTTTTTTGGTAAAATTAGGTGGCTCGGCATATTTTCAGGTTGGCTAATACTCAAGTATATATGGGTATATGAGAAAGGCTTTGTACAGTATCAGATTGCTATAATTCTTGGTTTCTTTTTTATTTTATGAAAATGAATACATTATATCTACTTGACATTATGGAGAACAATTGGAGACAAAACCATTTTTTCTCTTTTTCTAATGTTGATGTGTTCAAGGTTTTTTTTTTTTTTGTCAAAATTGACAAAACCAAAGAGATAGCTCAAAATTTAGGTGCTCATTATCATTCAGACCACGGTTATTCAACTTGTAGCATTTTTAAAAAGTCAATTTGCAAGGATATTTTGCTACCCCGAGTCCCCATTGGGGAGATGGTGGCGGGGTATAAATATTTATTATTATTCTAAATATATAGCACTTTTACTGTTCCAACCTAAGTAATTTCAGGCTAAAAGTATATATAATGAATATTGTATTCCTTTTAACATGTACAAGGGAACTAACACTGCATTTTCTAATTTTACTGAAAAATATCATTTTTCATATCTGTAAAAAAGAATCAGGGAAAACTGGGCATGTACCGTAACTTTGAAGTTTCCACAAATTTTTCTTGACAAATTAAAAAAAAGAAAAAAAATGTTTGCAAATAGAGACTTACCAAAGTCCTTCATACTATCAGGGTCTGTGTCATCCAGAAAGAAGTAGCCACACTTGACGGCCCGGTGCACCTCAAAGCACAAGCCCAGGCAAGCATCTTCAATCAAATCTGTATAAATATCATGAGCCACAGCCTAGAAAGCAAAAAGTCCAAAAAGGTAGTGTGATCAAGACGTTACAGCAGAAAGACTAGTAGAGTTTGAGAACAAATCTCCCCTGGGATCAAGATTCCTTTCTCAAAGTTGAAACCCAGAGTCAGATGCTTATCCAGACCTCAGAACCCAAAGAATATCAAGATATTAATTTGCACAAATGCACCTTATGAAAGAAGAGGCCTCACCAACTACACTGCCCCAATTACTCTGGTGTCCAGGAATATAGAAAGAAACCACATTTCAGGGGATCCCCAAACTTTAACCACTTTCTTTTGTATCCAAATATCAATCTTAATATTTGAATACAAACCAGTCGTTGTTTTGGTAGCATTTATCAATTGGTAACATTTATCAAACCCACTCATTTATTTTAAAATATTTCTACATGGCCTGCTCTATCCAGGCAACACATAATAAAAATACAACACAATATTGCTCTAACAACATGGTTGGTTCAGAGTAATAATCTATATAAATAAAATGTAATGTTAGTTTGTGGGGATTAACATAACTCAAAAACCACTGGACAAATCGACACCAAATTTGGACACAATACACCTCTCAGGCCAATGAGTGACCATCACTCATAAAAACACAGCAGACGAGATTTTAAAAGCAAAAAAAAACCAAAAAAAACATTACAACGCATATGCAAACACACACACACATATATACATGCAAAAACACATATGCACAAATATATACACACACAAAACACATATACACAGACTGGGCCACAGCAACACGTGGCAGGGGACAGCTAGTAATAATAATAATAATACTTTATAGACCGCCTTCTCTCCCTGAGGCAATTCAGGGCGGTTTACACACACACAAAAGGCAAACATACAATGCCCAAAATGGATACAAACACCTCAATATATACTCTAATACAAAATAATACATAAAGACTGTAAACTTGTAACAAAAAAGAATTAACATCGAAATGAAAAACAGAATACTAAGAATAAAATAAAACATAATTATACTGATAACATAATTAACATTAAGACATATAACCTGAGAAAATGATTAAAATACATAAAAATGGCTATCATGGTTGTTCTTTAAAATGTACCATGGCAGCAATGGGATATAAATAAGTTAGCCAGCATTTCGATGGAATTAAAAAGTGTCCTAGTCCTCCTCCTCTCCATACACTAAAGTGCATAGGTGCATTTTTAAGAGTTTTTGAAGGAGAGGAGGTTGATGGCTGTTTTTATTCATTTAGGGAGGGAATCCAGAGACAGGGAGCGATCATGGAGAAGGCCCTCTCTCTCATTCCCACCAACTGTGCTTGGGACGGAGGTGGGACCAAGAGTAGGGCCTCCTCTGCTGACTGAAGTGCACAAGATGGCCTGCATAGAGAGATGTGACTGGACAAATAGCCTGGACCTGAACCGTTTAGGGCTCAATAGGTAATGACCAGCACTTTGTATTTAGCAGACCAGCAACCAGTGGAGCTGCCATAACATGAAAATGGTTCTCTCCCTGTACGGAGCAAAATGACATCATTAGAAGGTTACTGATGCTGCATAATCAAAAGATTACTTTTCCCTTCCTCTCCCATCTTACAAGCCACTACTCTGCAATGTTGTCACTAAGAGAGAACCACAACATGAGTCTTGGAGGGTATGGTGAGGAAGGAAGGAAGGAGAGAATATGATACATGTTTTAATGGCATTGGAAGTTTTGTAGAGCAAGTCACTCTGAACTGTGATTTGCTCTACAAAAAAGTACTATGAGTGGGCTAGGGGTGCAAGACCCTTGAAAAAGTAGAAAAAACACAAATAAAAATAGCTATGTTCTTTTTTTTTCTTTTCTTTTTTTACTTGTGAAAACACCTCTATGTTTTGCTTTTGCTTTAAAGGAGTCAACTTACCTCCAACTTGCTGTTATCCAGGCCCGACAAAGTCATTTCCTCCATTTTCATTTGCAAAAGCTATCGGAGAAGGTGCTGAGAACGCAACATGCCAGAGGCCAGGCTCAAATGGGAAGGGTTCCCCCTAAGTGAAGACAGAAAAAAGAAAGGAAGAATAAGAAAGGAAGTCAAAACATTTGACTGTTTTGTTGTTTTTGAGTGTTGCTTTGTTTTTCTTTCTTTTTTCCTTACTTATTCTGTTACTCACCTTATATGTATATCTCATGTATTATGTATATTGTACTTTGGAAAAGCTAATAAAAACTTCTATTAAAAAGTGAAGTCAGAAAAAGGACACAATGATTTGCACAGCAATTTTCTTTCAAAGGGAAGGATGAGCGACTTTGCCTCCTTACTATTAAGCATCATTATTATTTATGGAGTACTTTGAAGTGGTCAGCAGATTCCAAGTTTGCTTAAAATTCAACTCTTTGCCCTGAACACAGATCTGGAAAATGCTTAGAGCCCTATCAACTCTTTACAGAATAGAACAATAGTGTAAAGGTAACGGCTAAAAAGTGGTCAGGGGTTCTTCATTCAACTTCCTAGTGTTAGATTTAAAACCCAAACGCACAACTTTCTGACCCTTGTGCTTGAAAGCAGCAATAACTGAAACCTCAGGAGCCAGACTGAACAAATGTTCATGATGGAGTGCCAAGGCCCATGACTAGCCAACCTGCTTCTGGAAGTAAAACAAAAGTACACTGTGCAAAACAGTAGATATGAAGTTGTGACTATCTGCATAATTTTCCCACATAACAAAGGTTAATTTAATTAGATGCAGAATGGCAAAGAAGATACATGCCAACTTGTGACAAAGGCTCTCAATGGCTGCTAGCCACAGTGACTATATATTACCCCAAATATATCAAAGGCAGGTTCGCAGCTTGCGAGTTCTCCTGAATTCCTCGTTAAGCCTGGAACTCCAAGTTTCGGCAGTGGCCTGGGGAGCATTCACACAATTAAAACCGTACTTTGGAAAGTCAGATTTGGCCATGGTGGTCCATGCTCTGGTTACATCGCAAATAGATGACTGCAACACACTCTACGTGGGGTTGCCTTTGAAGACTGTTCAGAAGCTCCAAATGGTCTAACGGGCAGCAGCCAGATTGCTCACCAGAGTGGCATACAGGAAGCATACAACACCCCTGTTAAGTCAGCTACACTGCCTGCCAGTCTGCTACCAAGCACAATTCAAAGTGCTGGGTTTGATCTATAAAGCCCTAAACTGTTCCGGCCCAGATTACCTGTCTGAACGGATCTTCCCCTATGAACCATCTGGGATATTAAGATTGTCCGGGGAGGCCCTGCTCTTGGTCCTGCCTTTGCAGGCACGACTGGTGGGAACAAGAGACAGGCTCTTCTCAGTGGTGGCCCCTCGGCTATGGAACTCCCTCTCCAGCGATGTTAGATCAGCCCTTCCCTCTTGACCTTCAGAAAGAGAGTGAAAATGTGGCTCTGGGATCAAGACCTCAAAGAACCATAGAGCAATAGATGGTCTGGAATTATGTGCAATGATTACCGGAATGACCTGGATTATGATTGAGTCCCCTTCAGGGTAGAGAAAGGCGGTATATAAATATAGTAAGTAAATAAATAACTAAATAATATGAATATCAGTTGCTGGGAAACACAAGCAGTGCTATCTGCTTGAGGGCTTCCCACTGGCCGCTATGGGAAGAGAGTGCTGGACTAGATTGTCCTTTGGTTTCGTTCAGAAAGGCTTTTATGTTCTTATAACACATCAGTCTGTGTATCACGAGCAGTTTTATCACTCAATGGATAGCAGGAGAGAACACTAGCTAACTCAGGATTATTTGCAACAGACGATCTAATGTTTTCATCTGGAAACCACTGGCCTAAGTGGAGCAAAGCCCACTAAATTTCACCTATGAAAGCACCTCGTATACCTTTGCAACATCTAACATTATATTTGTAGGTACTGCATTTACTGATCTCCCTGTGTATTCATGAGCAGAGATAAGAACATGGGATAAAAAAGCAAGTATAATTCTTCCCAATACCTTCAATGGACCAAGATTTTAGAACAGTATATCAAGCTGAAAACTAATTAACAGACACCACCACAAAATGTCAATGTATATGTACTTAGAAATGTCAACACTGTGTTAACAGATTGTGCATGTGCAAAGTGAATGCAGCAAACAACTTGATGAAATTTTTTTATAGATTACAGAAATGGAGGACAGAACGAGGAGAAAAAACAGAAATCTGAAAATAGAACTCGGGTTTATTTTGGGGTCCATTGCCTTCCGAACCTCCACCCCAAGACAGTAAAGATTGTCTGCCTGCTACATTATACATACTACCTTCCACAAATATCAAGGAGAAGACATTCATGCTGTCTAGAAGGGTTTATTAAAGAGGAAACAAGGAGTGGTCCCCTTCTCCAACTGCAATAATTTATCCAGGAGGCGAAGTCTATGTCTTTTTAATTTGTAACATGTTGGATCACCAAAAAACAGCAGCATGGTTCCTTCTAAGATCTCGAGTGCTGACTCACTGTCTCTTTTGCTGAAAATATCCAGGCCCTCAAGGAAAACTGCAATCTCTGTCAATACAAATAAATGCAAGAAAACAGCAAAACACAAAGCAGGATGCCTCTCAGTACTGGCTTTGGCTAAGAGAAAGGTCCTTATCCATTTTTCAGCTGCAGGTAAGGGAAAAAGAATCGAGATAAGTCCTAATCTATTTTGGATGACAACTGCGTTCAGATTTTTAGTCCAGTCAAACAACAACAGATTGAGTTCTTCAGCCTCTCAATCAAGCTCTTAGGTGGGAATGGTATGTACAAAATATGGACAGAAAGAATGGATTTGAAATTGCCGGGCCTGGTAAACAAACAAGTATAGGTCAAAAGATGCCTCTTTGAACATTCATGACTACTTGTTTTAATAAATAAAAAGATACCTTTTCAATTTATTTTGCCCTTGAAGTCAGGATTTTTTAAAAAAATGAATGTACTTGTACCAGAGTCACTTAAAATTATGCACAATGATAAAATGAACTACGCGCATACTCTCTCTCTCCTCTGCAGGTTGGCTTTTTTCTTTTAAGGGCACTGCCTTCTAAAAATCTGCAATCTTCTCTCTGCATTGAGAAAAGGAAACAACAAGAAAAGAAAACAAAAACACCCTGCAATGCTGAATGCACTACAAAGGCATATCTACCTCCCTTCATAAGACTAAGCCTAGATAGGAGGGCAGACTTAAGTCATTCCCCATGACACTTGTGGTCAGGAACAAAACAGGAAAGTGGATTGCTCCCATTCCAGGTTTTTAAAACAAATTATGATATCCCATAAGGAAGACTGAGAGAAGGAAGATAGATGCTTTTGAACTGTGGTGTTGGAGGAAAGTTCTGAGAGTGCCTTGGACCATGAGAAGATCCAACCAGTCCATACCTCAGGAAATAAAGCCCGACTGCTCATTGGAGGGAAGGATATTAGAAACAAAGATGGAGTACTTTGGCCACATCATGAGAAGACAAGAAAGCTTAGAGAAGACAATGATGCTGGGGAAAAAGGAAGGAAAAAGGAAGAGGGGCCGACCAAGGGCAAGATGGATGGACGGTATCCTTGAAGTGACTGGCTTGACTCTGAAGGAGACCTTGGGGTGGTGACGGCTGACAGGGAGCTCTGGCGTGGGCTAGTCCATTAGGTCACGAAGAGTCGGAAGCGAATGAACAAATAAACAACAACAATTTTTCCTTGTCTCCCCCACCTCGAGTCAGGAGCAACTTGAGAAACTGCAAGTCAATCGCTTCTGGTGTGAGAGAATTGGCTGTCTGCAAGGATGTTGCCCAGGGATGTTTTGATGTTTTACCATCCTTGTGGGAGGCTTCTCTCATATACCCGCTGGAGCTGACAGAGGGAGCTCATCCGCGCTTTTCTTGGATTCGAAATTGCGACCTATTGGTCTGCAGTCCTGCCAGCAGAAGGGTTTAACCCAGTGTGCCACCGGGGTCTCCTTGTTAAAGGGCAACTTTCTATTTGGAGTAGGAACCAAGAACTGCAGTCCATACCGAAGCAAACTGAATTATGGAAAGCATAATACAACAATGGGAAAGAAAAAGCCAGCTTACAAAGAGTGAACCCAGCTTGTAAGACCCGCCAGTGACTTGGGGCTCTCCCTAGCTCCCCATTGTTGGAAGGAATCCTCCAACACCAGACACAGACTTCATTAGCCTAACAAAGGGCAAACCCCAGGCACCATGGGATCCCTGGATGCATCCAAGGCCTTTCCACAGCCAGCCATCTGGAATCAGACCAATACACTCACCCTATTCCCATGTCTAGACCCATTTGCCAAAAATAAGGAAGGCGGGGTGGGGAGCAGGGTGGTAATGGTCTCAATTGTAAACTAAACATCTTCCTGATTCGAGGAACTCTTCCTCACATCTGCAAGATCAGAGCAGGAAAATTAGAAGTTTGTGCCTGGTTTTTTATGATTTCCCAACTTTTCTCAAATCCAAATAATGTCCAAGGGGTTACAAATAGTAATAGATTTAATAGGTTTTATAGAATTGAACTGAGTATTTAGACAAGTTTTAACAGGTCGGAAAACATTTCAAATCTTGGCAATGAGGCTGACTACTTTCCCCGATAGTTTTCCATGACCACCACTATCTCCTCCTAATAAACCACAAAACTCTCCCCTCCAAAATGCCTCTCAGCCAACTCCCTTCCACCCCTTAATCTGCTCCCTGATTCACTATTACTCAATTCATTCAGCAAAGCTGTTGTTCCCCCCTCCAACCCTCTTGCTTCTCTGCTCCACCAACATTATTTATTTATTATTTGCTATATTTATATACCGTCCCTCTCAGCCCGCAGGCGACTCGGGGCGGTTTACAGTTGGTGCCAAGACCATAAAATACAATTTCAATACAATAAAAACAATCGGATAATAAAACCATAACAAAATCAAGAAAAACATGAACATTGGGGTCTCCTGTTAAAAACATTGTCCCACTCGTAAACCTTCATGTTAACTAAAATTCCCCCAAAATGTAGAATTCACTGTCAGAAAAGAAATATTAATGTTTTCCTGAAATGCTTTCTTC